CTCAGCCGTGCCGTACAATGGCGTACTCGACTGAGGTGTCTACTACGAGAAACGCGTCGTTATGTAGGTGCGCGCCAACCACGTGACCGCGCTGTCAAACCCGTCAATCCATTCCTCCCCATTCGCTCCTGACCGGTCTCGTTCCAACACTCCCCCTAGACCGCGACACCCAGCATGTCTAAATGTTTGTGAAGGGTGGGCTGTGCGAGTGGCTTGGTGAAAATATCAGCGGGGTTTTCGGTCCCGGGTATGTGTGCGATATCAATCTGTTTTTGTCGTATCGCTTCGCGCAACCAATGATATCGGACGTTGAGGTGCCTGACACGCGTAAAATTTACCGCCCTCTTTGCTAGACTCTCCCCACCTGTGCTGTCCATCCTTATGACCACTGGAGTGCTGATCGGAAGGAACACGTCAGCCATGAACTTCTCTATCCACAATGCCGTCTGTCCGGTATGAACAGCCGCAATATACTCTGCCTCGGTGGTCGATAGGGCCACAACCTCCTGGCGGCGTGAGCTCCAAGACACAGGCCCACCTGCCATGATCATAATGTGCCCCTGTGTCGAACGGCCAGTGTCCGCGCAATCAGAATAGGATGAGTCCGAGTATAGGACAGGTTGGAGGCTCGACCTTGGGTGGTCCGCGCTGTAGTAAGTGATCCCATAGTCCACTGTCCCCTTGATATAACGCAGCACTCTCTTGAGGGCTCGCCAATGTTCAATCCCTGGATTCGCCATGTATCGGCTAAGAACCTGCACGGAATACGAGAGGTCAGGGCGAGTTGCGACAAAGAGATACATGATCGATCCCAGTGCCTCGCGGTATGGGATGGTCGCCATTTCCGTTGCATCATCAGGTGCGACAAGGTTAGTCAGTTTCGAAAGCTTCATGCCAGGTTCCAGGGGCGTCGAGACAGGATTCGCGTCTTGCATACCAAAGCGTTCTAGGACACGCAAGGTGTACGCACGTTGGGTCAAACGCAGCGTGCCTTTGGCTCGGTCACGCTCGATAGCAACCCCAAGCATGTAGGTGAGCTCGCCTCCCCCACTAAGCTTGTAGCGCGCCGCTAAGTCCCCACGAGTAATGGCCAGCCCATCCGCAGAATCGGCAGCAGAAGTGATATCGTCCGTATAGGTAGCGGTGATGGAAAGACCATGATCGTCAATGCGCGCACGAACGCACTCATCGGCGCGGGACCGCATGAACCCCAAGTCCTGGTAAGTGCTGTCGAGATCATTCCACCATTCATGGCCAGACTGCATTACCCCATACAGGGCACGCTCCAGCGCACAGACCCAGTCAGGGTGTTCTGCATCCTCGTAGCCCGGCGGCTGGGACATATAGACGGACTCCGACAGAGTGGCATTGAGGTAAGCTTTCTCAACGTCGTCTTGACCCATTTCCATCCCACGGTGTGTAGCAATGGCACAGACAGTGCGAAGCGACTCAAAACGGACAACCGATGCAGTGATCTCGAAGAAGTCGACGCCCGGGATTTGATGGAACCCCTTGGCTACAAGACGTGCCTTCGGTTTCCACTTCCCGACATCATTGTACTTCTGAGCGTATGCCCACTTGCACCCCACAACATTCATGTGATCCTGGCGAGGTACGAGCTTCCAAGCACCAATTTTGATTAGACCGTCCATTTCTTTGTCCATCGCAGGTGCCCATATCTCGCTCGTAGCCATGGCCTGTTTGTACGTGGTAGGACAGGTCCCGCCTTCATATATGAATGGGTCTGATGAAGCAACAGATGCAGAATGACCGTCGGCGGTGAATGCCGCAACATAGGCCGCGGTCGACGCGATCTCATCGTTGGCCCATGATTCACCACGCGCACGGGCCTCTTCCTCACGCTGGGTGGCCTCTCGTGACTCTCGCAGCGCTCGGCTTTCGACAGGTTGCCGCGTTGATCGGCGCGGTGCAGGAACGGATAAAGGGGCAGGAGCGAGCACTGGTGCGGCCGCAACAATGTCGACATCAGACACAGGATAAGGCTCGACCGGAGCTCCCCCATGCTGCGGTGCCAGAACAGTGTCGGATGCAAGTTCAGGTGCAGGAGGATCAGCTGGGGCAGGAATGGCATGTTCCTGCCCATAGATATCAGCGGACTCACAGGTGCGGTGACCCTTGGCCTCCTCGAAGACCACATCGCGCGAACGGATGATTCCTCCCCTCAGCCCAGCAGTAGGATCCCACAGACGATAGTTCGCGTCATCAGTATAGCCCACGAGAATGCATCGGCGCGACTTCGGATCGAGCTTGTTCCGAGCGTCATCGGTAATCCTGGCC